CTTAGCAAATACAAGGATGGTGTTCCCTCGGATCTACATATCCGAGTCCTTCAATCGCTTCAACAAGTTCAACCTGAAGCGAGCGCAGAATCTACCAACCAGAACTATTGGTCGGATGGGTCGATGTGGGTACAGATACTCAAAATAAGCGATTCTCGTCAAGGCCAAAGTACTGTACAGAACATGCTCGAATATATAGGAGCTTGGGAGTGGTACAATACTCAGTTGGAGCTTGCGAAGAAAACACTCAGAACTAAAAAGAATAAATCAGTAGGGGAGCGCGGTGCGGCGTTGCATGTAATGAATCAAATACAGGACAGATGGATCAGCGGAGTGGGAATAGTCACTCCGCATGAAGATGAGTATAACTCTCTATCAAGAAGTGGCTCTTCCAGTATAACTGCGGAGGGGAAATATCTGCAGCGAAAGCGGATTAACACGCAGCTCTATCGAGGAAAGATGTGTACCAAGCTCGTGAAAGAACTTGGTCTTGGGATATTGTTCGATCGAAATATCTGGTAAGAGCTAAGATAGTGTTGATATCTTTCGTTACTGATATAGATTAGGGTCTATGTTAAATCGAAGATAGATCAGCTTGATACCTTGGTAAAGGATATCATAGCCGATACTAGATATACGAAGCTGCTCCAGATTCTCAGTCCACAAGTAGAACAACTTGTGAAGAATGGGTCACCAGATCTTCATATTTTCTACGAGGACCTAAAAAATGCAGAACTACTCTCCGAAAACGAGCTCCGTGAACTGGAAGAATGTTTTGCCTTGGAAGGGGTAGGTAACTCGCCCGCAATAGTCAGAGTATATGTTAATTCTATTACCGAAGGACCCCCTGCCTCACGGTCAGCTCGAGTCAGAAATTGATCGTTTGATCAAAGATGTCAATATTAAGGTACTTGATCAGACAAGATTTGGACGCGATGACACGATTGCAATCAACGATGGTATAGAGATACCATGTGATATCTTCGACCGACTTCGCCCGGGCAAATGGCTGAATAGTTGGACTATCAATGCTCTCATGCAAATCTCTGATAAACCTGCCTTTGTTAGGTATAGTCTAAGTATCCCGTTGGATGAGGAGAATGGCAACGGTGATTTTCGCCCGATCAAACATCCCCTAAGAGGCTGGGCCAAAAAGATGGCTGAGTTTCGGGAAAAGGCCAGGGATCCCTCTGGAGACCTGGTCCCGTTGGTTTTTTTCTGCCCAATCAACCATCAAGGGAGCCATTTCTCGTTACTGGAGATCAACGAACGGGACAAGGTTATACACCATTATGATTCGAGGGCTAAGCTGAATACCAGTCTCCGAATAGAAGATATAGTTCAGGAGCAGTTTGGCGATTTAAAGTTCTCCTACGCAGAAGTAGTAAGTATCAGTCCCCATCTATAAGTGCCTTACAAAGTACTAATATAGCCGACATAGCCTACTCCGCGACAGCGCGACGGCTGGAGTTGCGGAATCAGGACGGTTTGGAATTTCCGACGCTTATCGAATAATCTCTCAATTGGAGCAGGTGATACCGCGCTGAACCCAGAGCGGATGATACTAGAAGTCGTAGAGGGGCTGACAGCCTGCGTGGAGGGTGGTGCGATGACAAAATATATTCGACGAAGACGCTCAGGCCGAGAGAGGCGACCAGTGACACCTGGATCTATGACGATAATGCGCGAGAGGGGTGCCCAAGCCCCTACAGGACAAGGCATTGTGTAAGGAATAAACGGAAGAAACGAAAAGTTGCTTACTCCAACGGCACAGAATATATCTTTCCAACAATACAAAGATAGTAAAATAATCCCAAGAGATATAGTGTAGAGCTATTTATAACTTTGGAAAAGAAGAGACTGTAATTTACAATAGATGGAGCGAGTAAATTACATTTGAGGCAATGGCTAAAAATACTGTAAGCTTTATTTAATAAATCTAAGGCGGAATCATACACATAGTCCATAGAACTACGATGTACATGTTTTTCTATATTCTTTATTATTCTCTAAAAAAAACTTGCCACAAATCTGCATTTATTTCTACTCGCTGATAGCGTTGCCTTTGTTCTAGCATTCCCTGCAAAGCTTTGAAGCATAATTCTTCTACTAGCTGATCCCAAACTTTACCCTGTTAAGCCCCAGGATACACATGAATACCCAAGTGTCCAAGAAGCTCCCGGTAAAGAAGAAGAAAAAGGCGTGCAAGAGGCGGGATCGTAAAAAAGATCCGTCTACAATCAAGTTATCAGCCCCCTTAAGTCAGTCAACTGAGCATCTTGCGCATATCCCCATAAGAGACATGGAGAGCTGGGTCCACAGGTCCACAGAGACTCGCCTTCAGGAAGTTATCAAAAGAAACGGCAAAGTTACTAAGCCTATGAATTCCTTTTTACTCTATCGGCAAGCATATATTGAGCGTGCTAAGAAATGGCTGGCACAGAACAATCAGAAAATATTGTCCATAGCCTTTGGGCAAAGCTGGGAGATGGAGCCTCAAGAAGTTCGAAATAACTTTAGAATCTTGGCAAGTATCGATAAGAAGAATCACATGGAGGCACACCCTAAATGGTCAGTGAGGAATATAGATATAAGGAGCCGCCACAATACTACTTCTGGCCACGCGATAAGTCCTGGGTCGGCTGGAGTGCAGCACTCCCTTATAATGGAAGCTTCTATGTTTGGTTGCCTAAGGGGTAACAGTAACTCGGCAGAGCCAGAAAGTTACACCTTACCTGCACCCTTTGATTCTTGTGCTCCAGAAGCTTCCATATCCTCCGATCAAGCCTGGTATCCTCAGTTTCTTACATGTCATGATATGCTTAGTACTTGCGCGGAGTGCAACTTCAATGAGACGGCGATGTTGGACGGTGTCCAATATGAGTTTCCCCCCCTACTAGAAACACCAGGAGCATTGTGTCTTTACTGTCTGCCGGCCCAATTCCCAGGTTTCATATCAGACGACTGTTCCAGTGTGCAAGAATATCCAGCGGGTGGCTGCCATGCTCTGGGACCTTCACCAGCAACATTTATGAGCTCCTATCAGTTTACAAATACGCACCAACCTGGTATACAGCAGCCATTACTGGGCTTTCCACAGGGCCATGGACTTTCAACATCTGACACAGATATGGACCAATTTAATTGTTGGATTAACTATGAGGCTTTTGATGTATGATATAAGATATCGTCTTTATATCTCGATACTGGATTAAAGCAATTATTTCTTTTGTCATGTTCTTTATTCCAGTTGCCATATCCTGATGGTGGTAGTAGATATATATGGAAATTCCTAACTATTTCTTCTCGATGCTTCCCGCCTTTTTGATTATTTTATTTTTTCTACCTGTCCAGTGGTCAGGCCCATTGTGAGAAAATGTATAGTATATTTAAGTTTAATAATATCTATCTATATTTCTGTGGCGCAAAATTAAAGATACATTTGCTTGCAAGTCAGCTTACCTGCCTATTACTTTTCGCCTTATTCTGAAGGTTTCTAGAGCGGGCACCTGTCTTACACCATAAAAGCCGTACATTTATATGCGAGGCTAGCTAGTTAAAACAGGCCTAGAGATAGTGCAAAACTATAGCAAATACAACAACAGAGTATAGAGATACCAAACAGCTTGAGTATAGTCCCGAGTGCTAGATTCACTTCTACTTGCTTCCTTTTGCGATACCACTGGGCAGAAAGCCGACAAACTAGTCTTATTGTTGGTATTGTCGCAGTGTTACCTAGTCCTCTTTGTCACAAACCAAAACTCCACCTTCGTTGGTTACGAATTCATCTACTACAGTTAGTAGGCAATAGAATAGTTGACATGTTGCTCACTTACCCAGGTTCAAGATGGAAGACGGCGCCATTACCCCCTTTCTTCCATAACACATACACCTAATCTGCGTTCCTGCTAACAAGCAGAAGCTACACTCCATATTTCCCAAGAAATTATTTCTATAACATATGAGTTTCTGATTCAGGACAAGCTATGAAATACATACCCTCTCATAAGAGTACCGTCTCTATTTCCCACACACTTGTTCAGGTCAACCACAGTATCGTAGTACTTATTAGGTGACCCCGAGCATTTGGCCACTAGGAGAGACCCTTGGAGGTCCAGAGAGCTGCATGTCTGTGAAAAATGCGCTGCATAGCTTTTGCCGAGTCCAAGGAGGGCAATAGTAAACGCTTTATACTGCATCCTGTTGAAACGATAGGAAGCCTGTTGTTCTGTTTGAAGAGAATAACTAATAATACCCGCGTGCTCTTGTTTGGCCGGAAACAAGCCAGAATATGAATCGAAAGAGTATGCTGAACACGACTTACTACTGGGAATTTCTAATATTATATACCTATGAAATGTTTCTATGACGCAGCCAATACCTAAAAATCTAGACTTGCCCATGGCAATAACATTCCATCAGATAATATAATTACTGTATCAATATTAGAGGTCCTATAACGACGGTCAACAGGGATGTTTCACCTAGGGATGCTCTTTGCAACCGAGCAGGGTATCTCCACGTTGTAATTTATTCTGTATTGGTCATAATCCTATATTCCAGGGCGCCACCGAATACATACTATGAAATAAATCCCTTGGTGGTAATTAAAATCCATAGGAAGTAGTAGGGCTTGTTGTTACCAGACACTTCCTTTCTCGGTATCTAAAAATCCTTTGGTATGCTCTCGCAATTCCCCAGTATAATACGTAAGTAGAAAATTGTAATCTAAAGAATACAAAGAGGATGACCGGTACGTTTTGTCGACATAAACACTTGACACTTGACAACTCCTGTGCCAATTCTTTTATCAAGAATATGCGGGATTTTCCAATTCTGCCATAAACACTACGATATCAGACATCCCTTGACAGGTCAGAATGAATAATACCGAGATTGGAAGCTTGGCAAAGTGGCTGTACCAGAAGTTTCGCGCAAGACCATTCCGCGAAACCAAAATGACCTCTCAAGAAGTCGAAATCACTATCCAATGCTACGACCGACGTCCAACAAATATAATTATGTTTGTAAGTTCTTGGAACATAACCACGAAAGGTAAGCTACAGTATTACAACCGCCTGTGGTGTCTCAAGCACTGTTAACACTATTCAGCTTCCGATAATCAACTATAATAATAGGAATGAAGCCCATGGCCCGAGCAAACACTTGTGTATCTCGATTTGATTAAAGTACATAGAATAATGCTGATTTCTCGTACCAGCGACTTGTCTCGAACTTCAAGGAAGATATCTCCTGAAAAGTGAATCGATGTTGTGTACTGTATTCCTACACTTTAGATCATCTCTCCACTTCTGCACTCGCGGCCATTCAATCCCCAGATTTCTAAGTAGCGGTTCTCGGCGTCACGGAGCCGAACATTAACTTGGACTAGAGCATCCTCCATTTTATTGAATATGTCGTACATCTGATCCTGGAACTGTAACAGAGCTTGCTTGGTTTCCGCGTGCCACAAGAGCTCGGCTTTTAAGTAGCTAACCTCATATGCCATGTCCTCGACCTGTTTCTTTAGACTCCTCGGTGGAGACTTTGATTGCCGTAGGCGTGAAGGAAGTCGTTCAATATTAGAGGAGGTGCCGCCATGCCGTAGGATATGATGGTCTTGAGGCGTAATCTCTTCGGCAATGGGATACAATGTGGTTTGTTGGTGATATTCCATGATCTCCTTGGTATGCCAGAAATAGCTCCTCACAGTGCTGGGCGAAGAGTAAGATACTATGCTAGGGTTATATATCCGGTCACTGGCCGTTTCCCAGAGGTGTGACGCGGCTTGAACAATTAATACTGGCAGGCTAACATGTACATACTGATACAGTTATACTAATCTGTGGTGATTATGTATGTATCAACATCCGGGTGTAAATCTCTAAAAATAGAAGGTTACTAGTACATTGGGGGTTTTAACCGCAGGTATCAATGCGAGTTACCAGGGCGGATGTTTGGAATAGAGAATTTGGAAAATGACATATGATAAAAAAACAGGACGATACATTCTGCGTTACTCAATCCCATCCATCTCCAATGCGGCTTTTCCAATCATGTGCTCATTTGTTCCCTCCACGTAGCAGCCAACTGTTATGTTGAGGGGAGCACAGGCGTCACTATTACCATATTCATCTTTTTGGTCTATGACTGTGGTTGAGCCATCGCTTTGATCGGCCGGAGAGTAAGGGGAGTATAGACCGAGGGCTAACTGTATAGTTGATTGGAGCGTTTGTATAACTTCCTCCTTTAACATGACCGTTGTCCGAAGATCCTTGATAGTTTCCTGGTAGCTCTTATTTTCGAGATATAATTGAGAAGGATCTGTTGAATTGTCTAGAGCATTTCTGGTAGCGGATATTGTTGCTGTCGATGAATTCATGAGGGAATGGTTGATCATAGATAAGGTCGCCACGCGGCACTCCAAATCTTGGGATTTTGCTCGCTCCAATACTAAATCCTGTTGAAGTGTTTCTGTCCTCTCAGACATCTGGGTAATACGAGCATCGAGATGGTAGTTTATCCACTGCATATCTAGCAATCTTTGTTCCAAGTGGTCGTTGAGATTCTGCTCCTGCTGGAAACGAGCGTTGTCCTCCCTAAGGCGAAGCTCTAACTGATGCTGATAGAACCTTATCACCTGCTCGTGATCCAGAAAGTCCTTTAGCACTGTGGGGCTATCAGTCGTAGTGTGTTGTTGGGTCTATAGGCCGTTTTGATTAAACCAAGGGACTGTGACAAAGACGGTCATGTACACACCGATAGAAATGGGACGGAGCCTCCCAATGAAAAAGAATCCATCTTGATATTATCAAGATACCTGTCTGCTTCCCGTATATAATACGTTAATTTTGGCCCCTGCTACATGCAGCCAAAATGACTTCCGTATCGTTTAGGTGGAGAGAAGGATGTATAAGGCTTTTAGACGAAGGTTTACTGCAATCATATCCGAACGAGTCAAAACCTAAAGTACGGAGGTGTGTTTCAAAAGTTATCGAACTGCGCTAGTAATATTGGCCTCAGGTAGAAGTAAAGCCCTTACTTTACAGGTAATAAGTGGTCTATCACTACGTTACCTATACCAATACAAAATACGCCTACTCTTCTAGGAAACAGCCAATTGGTTAATAATCATATAACAATGTTTTAGATCATGTGGTAGTAAAGTGTGAGGTATAGACTTTATCTCCGCCTCAGGCAAATATTACTAGCGCAGTTCGACAAATTTTAGAATACCTCCGTATAATGATACAATACAGACAACGTATACTAAAGCCGCATTGATACTGTATCCAGTTATATGATCATAAATACATACCAAGTGTAAAATCGGCTGTAAAATCGGCTATAACTAGCGAGCGAACAAAACACAGATACAGAGGTACAATAGTTACAAGAGAACTGATATAAAATAAAATATTTCTTAACCCGGTAAACTATACTCTGATAGCTTTCCCTGGTAATAAAACACTGTTATGTAAACTTCCAAGAATATGTTTACAGCCCCTTCCGTAAACAAGAAGAGATAATTAACTAACTAGTTATCATAGCTGGTAAGAAACCCCTGTATTCCATACTACTCCAGAGTAGGGCCAGGCCTGCGGCTTACCCCTGGCCACAGCTCAAGACAAGTGGAGCGCTTCAGCCCCGTGGCGTCTCGTTTGAGCAACCAATCGGAACGCGAGGTCGGCTCCCAGTACCAGAGCGCTTGGCGCTTAGCAATCATCAAACATCTATACAGTGTCTAGGTCTTTCACCTGTCAAGCCAAACTTTACAGAAGCAAAAATTGAGCGCGTGTTACAGGTGATTGCAAAACTGGTGCATGGCTTTCATACTCTTACTTATTTCTTTTAGATGGGCACTAGTTTAAATAAGGATAGATCTATAACTTAGTAATTCAAGGCCTGGGATTTAATTGGTGAAAGAGTTCGCACTTAGCCATTTCAATACTTAGTAGCACATATCTCGAGAGAGATTCAAAGAGCGGGAAATCTGTGCACCGGTTTTGCAATCACCTGTACTAAATCGAGGACGATGTATGCGTATGCGGGGCCAAAGAAACGGTAACCCATGTGCTAGTCGACTGCCCAAAGCTGCGGCAACCTCGCCAGGAACTACGGAAGAAGATCGGAACTGCATTTAACAGTGTCTCGATGATGTTGGGAGGAACCCAGCAAGGTGAGCCAGGCCAACCTACGCAAGATACTTGCATTATAAATGCGGTGTTGGATTTTGCGGAGGCGTCTCAGAGATTTCGAAGTCGCGCGCCACGAGGGCCGCAGAACAGAACCCCAGGCAGTGGCCAACACAGGCCTTGACGAGGCTCCAAGTTCGTCAGGAAAGTAAATAGAAAAGATAGATAGATAGCTATAGTTGGATCCTGCATATCGCCGTAGGCGAGGGGTCAGCGTATGAATACACACACACACACACACACACACACACACACACCTGTACTAAATCAATATAGATACACTTCTAGGAATAGCTATCATACAAAGCTGCCTCATCATCGTGATCCCGTGGTCTAGAAAGACGGGAGAGTAGGTGACGGAATCTTCCACTTGCATCATCTACTCCTGTGCTTATAGTATTCATTCTTTGATTCTGCTTCTCCACCGTGCTCCGAATGTCATCCAAGCTTTGAGAAAGACTGTCGATTTTACCAGTGAGCATAAACAGTTGTTGAAGTCTACTTTCCATGGCGTCGACCCGTGAAGTAAGCCTGTCAACCTTCTGCCTTAAATACTTCACCTGTGCGTCACCACCATCATCAGCTCCTCCGCCATTCTGCTCGCTGGCTTGTTCATGGACGCTTCCGTTTGCCTTCCCATCCGTCTTCTGACCTAGCACCTCGGACAGCATCTGAAGGACCCTACCAAGTGTACTACTTAGCAATGTGACAAGAAATGTTGCTATCTAGACTCACGGTGCTAACAGTTCAGATTGGCTTTTGTTAGGAGATCGATGGCTAAGGATGTTAGCTAACTACCAGTGGATATGTCGAGGGTACTTACTGTGTTTCTTGTTCTCGTGGAGTAAGAAAGGCATCATAGAGACTGCCTGCCTCATCCTGTCCTATTGGAAAAGAACTGCGCAGCAAAGATGGATCAACCTGGGAGCCTCCCTGCGTTGCTGGGACAGTATTTGCCGATGCTAGATGACGGTCTAGTACATTCTGGGTAGCATAGGCGTAATCCAGGTGCTCATCACTCGTTCCTTGCTCAGCGATATCATATGTCGTGGGATTGAATGGGTACATATTGTAAATAGACGAGGAAAATTGATTTGGACACCCTTTAGGAGAAGGTGTTAGAACTTCCTTTTATACGTACTATGACTCCAGGTATTATACGTTGGGAACCGATATTAGCTATCATGCGTTGGGAACCAAAATTAGAATTGATTGTTTTCTTACCCCTGTCTTTTATCGCTTGGTTTACTGTGCCACCCGTCTGGTTTCTTTGTCAATTGTTTTAGGCCTGGTCACTGCCCCACCTTTCTATTAAAGGGAAATAAAAGCGGAATAGATAAGGAAAGCAGACAAATGTGTAGTATGTATGTGAAACAGTAATAACCTTTAGAAAAAGAAGAATCGAGACGGTGCAAAGGACTGGTCTTTGTATGCTCTATTGTATCTAGTCATTGTTCGAAACAGAAAGTGTGTGCCTGTCTATGTTTAGATCATCAAGACAATATATTAAATAGGAGGCGCCCAGTCGAGGGTCATAGCCTCATGGGCAATTCATTCAACGGAACGTTCTATCAAACCTTTGGCTACATTGGAGCTCCTTCCAGGCAAACACATACGCCATGCATACCAGAAGTGAGACTAACTGGCTGGATGTCAGCCGTAGTAGGGACGGTACTTTTGTCATTCGCGACTATGGCCGGTTAGGACAGATAGCATCGGAACTTGTCCGACCTGGTCATCAGCATCCCACCCTTTCAGTCTTCCTTGGCAAAAAAACGAAGGATATTGCTCTACAGTCGATCTTTCCCCAGAATAATATTAGGCGAACAAAACCAAGGGCAAGTATCGGCTTGCGATATGATATGATTACAGTCGACAGCGACAACCCAATACTCTTTGCAGATGGAGACCTTAGTACAGACAGGGATCATCACGACCCTATGCCAGGGGTGCATGACTACTCGGTCACGTGGGATCATAGCATCGACGCATTGAAATTAATATATGCGTGCTTGTTATTTTTATTTTCGGATTGTGTCTGTATCTTTGCCGATGACTATCCCAATCTCCTTACTGTAGCCGAATTTTTAGTTGTTTGTACCCGCTTCCGACCTGCGTCAGGGCTGCCTGAGGCAATCCGGCCCCGGGTACTTGTGGTGCTACAGAACGATCCAGGCAACGCTATGATTGATAAATTCCACGAAAAACTCCGAGAGGTTGATTCAGCCTCCTTCTCCGGGTCATTCTATTCCGTCAATTTGTTCTATTTGGGCCAGGCCTATTCGGAGTCAACGAGATACGATAGTCTGCGCACATGGATTAAAATCCAAACCAATAATATACAGGCTGCCCGCCGGGAAAAGTGGGTATGGTGGAATATATTACACCTAAAGGCATTGTTTCTGTCGGCAATCCGGCAATTTACCTCCGATGACCCTCCTCAATTTGATATCGTAAAGGCCTCCAGGGAAGCGAATCCTGTCACTACCGGATTGAGTAGCCATATCTCACATTTCTTAGAGCTCGGCGTCCAGGAGGGATGCCTCTTGGAAATTTTACTTTCGGCTATCGCGTCTGCCTTGCTAATGGACCATTACACACCCGAGATGATACGTAAGTTGGGGCGTTCCTATTGTTCCACTCTCCCGCCCCCGCCCCGCGCGTTGCTTTCCTTTTTTGGCCCGATACCACGCACCGTACCTTATTACCCCAGCTTATACGGCCCGCGCCATTGTTATTCTAACTGGGTTTAGTACTGGATCCAAAAGCAGTGTTCCAGACACTATATCGTTCCTCGATCGTCCAGGCATTTCGCAATTACAGAGGCCCAGCCTTTTCCCGTCCGTTGGCGATCATAGTTTATGACTTGGAGCGAGACTTTGTGAGACAGTTTCACTCGCTAGTCGATCGCGGACTGGCATCCGTGGACCATCGGCGTGAACAGCTTTTGTCAATGAACTATGAGCTGGGTCGTCTGCAATCAGACAGAATTTGCCTCTACTGCCTTGTTCGCACCGCGCAACACGCCCTGCCCTGTTGTCATAACATTTGCGATGTTTGTCCTCAACTATTTGGGACCCCAGTGTCCAGCGCAGAGTATCAGTTCACACTGTCTTCCTGCCTCCTTTGTAATTCCCAGGCCAAGTTTGTGGTCGATGTCTTGCCACCTACCATGAATCCAACAATTCTAGCGATCGACGGTGGGGGTGTTCGGGGAGGAATTCCGTTGGAGTACATGATCATGGTCCAAGAAAGTTTAGGCCCTGGCTGTCAGTTACGAGACCTCATTGATCTTGCCATTGGGTCCAGCTCGGGTAAGTCTGGCACTAAATTAGCGCATCCAAAGCCTCGGGTCTCCCGTCAGGCAACGGTTTCGTGTTTTTTCCATAGGATTTGCCCCCCTGCTAATAGGTACAGGAGGCTTGCTAGTTCTAGGCCTAATTGGCATGGAGTGGGACGTGTCTCTATGCTCCGAAAAATTTGATTTCCTCGCCCGTCGGATCTTCCGCGAGCGCCGACAGCCAGTAGTATCTCGACTGCTTCACGCAATTCTTGGACAGGATTCGCTGCTAGGTAACATTCCAAAATGGCTATCATGGTTTCTCCACGACAGTTGCTACGACCCGAGGCTGTTCGACACTACTCTACAGGACGCGTTCAGCAGATACAAACGTATTTTTGATCCAGCTTGCGGGACCTCTCATCCAACGCTTCAGTCCAAACCAAAGTTTGGAGTTGTTGCAGCAAGCATCGCCAAGGACACACGATCTTTCATTTTTGGCAATTTCAATGCGGTAGATTGGTTTTCAAAGGGTTATGGTATGATATTCTCCTTAACACGGATTGCCTCGGTTGACTTTTTGCCACAGATTATGAGTTATTCCGAGCTGAAACCAGAGATACGGAACCTTTGATGTGGGAAGTGTAAGTTATGTGGTGGAAGGCCAAATAAACCCTGCTCTAACATCAGATAGTGCAAGGGCTACTGCAGCCGCGCCATTGTAAGTTGACTCCCCCTGTCTATAACTCGGAGGAATTGTCGAATGACGTTGCATCACTCATAGCTGGGTACTATTTCTAACAAAGTTTGCCAGCTTTTTCTCAACGGCGCATCTTCGGGACATTGGTTCCTTTCAAGATGGGGGATTACAGGACAACTTCGCTGCTGGTATTGCTTCCAGACTTTATCGCCGAATATGGCCTTCCAAGAACGGAATCGCAAGGCTTATCTCATTGGGTACCGGTGACACCGGCCCCTCCTCTGAGCGATCACCACATTTTCGCCATGTTTTCCGGGATGGATTTCTCAGAAGGGGATTTGACGCCTTCATGGCAAATTTGGGTGCTGCGTCTAAGTGGCGGCTACTGGTGGAACAGCTGAACAGCGCCGTAAGGCCCGACTATATCCGGATGGACGTATCTTTGAATGACATGGCATGTACAATCGACAATGTCGAAGCCATGGATGATTACCGTAATTTAGTCATTCTCCAGCCTGGGAGTGCCAAACAGGCCCGAGAAGCAGCAACGGCTCTGCTTGTTGCTCGCTTCTATTTCGCGTTGGATCATCATGTGGAGGAAACATTTTCTGAGACACTAACCTGGTGCCACGGCACAATTCGATGTAAAGGACCAGCCAAACCTATCGTCAATGCTCTTCGCCAGCTTCACCCAGAAACTATCGAGTTCACCACTGATTCAGAGTCCCTCGTCAAGTTCGGTGGCCTTGGTGACATATGCCTTACCTGTGGACGCTACAAAAAACACGTTGCCCTCCTTTTAAGACATCCGGCAGAGGAAAAAAACATATATTTACGTATCGGCCGCCATCAGAAGTGGAGAATTAGCGGATTTCCCGCCAGTGTACAATCTCTTGACACGATACAGCGACTAGGAGATCATCCATTCGGCCGGCCCGATCATGGGCGGCCATCTATTGGCCCGTGTGATTCGTGTGATAGTCAGCCCAGTCGTTTTCGGGGGCTTCGCAGAAAGCGTACATCGTCAATATCTGCGGAAGACATGGGTGGGAAACGAGTTTGTATCGTGGGGTAAGCTCAAGCCTGACTGGTTCACAAAAGACATCGATAGGTTATTTAATGTGGGACTTCGAGTATACTTACTTGGAAAAATATAATACTCTTGTTCTTTCTTTTTATGATATGTGGACTAGGCCTAATGCGGACTTTTCTTTGTCCAGAGGGTCTGAGCTTTCTAAGACAAGTCGGAAGGAAAGTAACAAATAATGTCATTTTATTTCTCAGTGGATTCTGTACATCCCTAGCTGTTGGATTCCTAGTGCTAGTTTAGCTGATATCCAAGGTCGAACTTTAAATGAAAAGGATCTTGCTAAGCAAGCGGATTGCCGAGCTCACTGTTAGAAAAAACCCCATCCAGATAAAACGAAGTACCGTTTGTTTAGTAATATTCTTCCTAGTAGTTAACTAATATATATATCTGATGCTATAACTCCTGAAAACTTAGATTTATTTCTTATTCCCCTTGACATTTGACCTGGTGATATAATGGCAAATTTTCCTTTCACTCGGAAGTCACCTGAGCATTACACCGAGAAACTTGGAAGTCTTGTGGAGACTGCCACTGAATTATCATTATTTCATGACTGTAAAGTCTATATCTTTGTTGATTATCCCCAACATGGCTTTATATTCAAGTCAATCCAAGACCCTATCTGGCCACCACCGGACCAGTATCTCGTGAGTCCAATGCTTTCATCATAAACTTCAAGTATTGACACAGTTCTGGCTTTAGTCACGGAATCTATCAATTAAAAGATTGTATGCTGAGGATTTGGTATACTCACGGTTCACTGAAGCGGAACGGAAAGACTTTATCCAACTGGTACTATTTTTCTGCGATCTGGCTCATCGCTGGGGTTTAGCTTCCGAAATCTATCCACAAAGCCCCAGAAGCCCAGATGTGGAAGAAAATGATATGTGTGAGATGAGCGAGGATAGTGTTCGTTGATTTATCAGGGTCCTTATAATTGACCCGGTGATAACTTTGTACGATACAATCCCAGACATTTAACTAACTTTTTTTTCTTTGGTAAAAAAAAAAAAAAAAAAAAGAACCAAGCGTCGTATTCATGTATTTTTCCCCTCCTGTAATCTACGCGATATCAGTCTTTACGTGAACATGGATATATCAAGTGGAAATATATATTATAGCATAGAGCTGAAAGCAATTGGCATTTTACTCAGAATTTAACGACCATAGATAACAGTGCACTATTTGATCTATTTACTGTCAACATGAAGGTCTTAGAGACCACTTACTTTATTACTCTTGGAGCTATTCTGCTACTGCTGTTTATGTATTCACTGGGTAGAAGAATTTCTCAACTTTTTATCACCTGCTACTCTTGCCTAGGCTCACAAAGCCCACACCACCTTTTCCTCCGATATGTAGCATACCCAAGGTCTAGTTGGCGGGTCTTTGGCATCGATTCATTGTCTCCCTTGCAAGTAGCTATGGTTATGGTCTACTTTATTGGGACTGCCGTTTGCAACTTTATCGGGGTGAACACTCCCTCTGAAAAAGGAACGCGTGCTGCTCATCTCTCACTGATCAATTTACTCCCACTTTATTTCTCCGGTGGCCGGGACTTTAGTGCCCGCCTTCTTGGGCTATCTCTAGAAACCTACGGGATTATACACAGAACAGCGGGATTTATGACTGTCATCCAAGCTACTGTTCATGTTGTTATTACCTACCATGAAGTCCCATTCGATGTATCGATTTCGACACACTTTTTTGGTCTTCTGGCAAGCCAGTACTTTTCCTTTACCCTTTATTATTTGTGGTTACATGCCTGCTGGAAAGAAAGTACTAATATAATTTTAGAGTGGGTGTATGTTTCTGTCCCTTTTACTGCTCCCAACCGTGAAACGTCGTGTATATGAAGTTTTCCTCGTTACTCACTTGGCATGTGCTGTCCTTGGCCTCATATGGATCTGGCAACACCTTGACCCGGCACATGATCTCTCTCGCAAATATTTACTTGCATGTATCTGCACGTTCACAATTACCGGGACCTTTCAGCTTCTGCGAATTATCTATCGCAATAAAGTCCTGGGCAAACGATCTGTCCGCATGGTCATGAAGCCATATGCTGAAGATATTGTACAAGCTATACTGCACCTCCCGCGACCCTGGGAGGTACGAGCGGGGGAAAGAATCAACCTTGGCGTGCCTTCACTCGGCATCTTTTATTTGTTCCAATCTCATCCCTTTTCAATCACTTGGTGGGAGGTAAATGCTGAAGGAGAAGCTATCTCTGTCTCGATATTGTTTCGGGCTCGCACTGGGTTTACTAGAAAAGCGCTGAAATGTATGGAGCCGGACCGTGAATATTGGGCTTGGATCGATGGGCCGTTTGGACCATCTCCGGTTCATAACTACGGACTTTCACGGGAGGTAGGGGACTACGGACACATTCTCATGATCACTACGGGAATTGGAATTGCGGCTCAGCTACCTTATATCAAAGAGCTGCTATACTTGCATCGTAATGCTAGGGTCACTACCCAGAAGATTACTCTCGTGTGGCAATTAGACCGGACTGGCGATTGGGAGAGTTCTCGTGATTGGCTGCAGAATCTGGTCAAGCAGGATGACGGTTACGTATGGATCCTGTACTTTTTTGGCATAAAATTCTTAGACGCTCTGACCAGATATAGATGCTTGAGGTCATGGTCTATGACCCTTCGAGTGCGGACAACATACAGGTGCCGCGAAAAATCGGCCATCATGATTTGATTTCATTCTATGGAGGTAAGGTAAATTGGGAAAAGATACTTTCAACCGAAATGAAGCGGCAGGCTGGCAAGCTTCTAGTGACGGGTAAGTCTTGCCTCCCCATACATACATGGGTACATTAGTTTGTCCAACAGATATACTAATCGCTTATTAGTTTCTGCCCGTCGCCGAATCCGAAACCTAGTGCGACAGCTAGTGAGGAACAGTGTGTGGTTTGATGTTGAGCTTTTCGAGCTTGAGTTCCAGCCTTGGCAAGAAAGACGAGATTGGCTGTCTTTCTTCACGCCGTAATTTTGACTACTAGAGTTCTATAACCTTCCATGTATTGTTGTATATTGTATTGTTAGAGCCTTTTTTTACTCGAAAATATTACTGCTCAACCGACTAGTGAGGAAGCTATACTTCAGTATTATTAGACTTAAGTAAGGTAACTGAGACGTTTATCTTAGACTATTTTACCAGAATAGTTGACTCTGTCCTCTGTCTCGCTAAAACCCTTGCCCCCAGAGAATATGCAGGGGTCATAGTTCTTTTAGAAAGCGGTATAATATGATAATATACAACTACAGTATCTAAATTGGTTGAATTACATTATTCTATTCTTACAGTAATTTATATGCTGAACCAATCTAAGCTACTTTAAACTTGGCTCGGTGTAGATTACTGCTTTACATTACCTTTAGCATAATCTACTAACAGTAAGATTATTAAACTGTCAAAAATACGGCCGAATGACCCCGTAGCACTTTTTCCTGGATACTGGAAGAATGTTACTGTAATTATTTAATCCTAAATTTTTATTAGAATATAAATACAATATTCTTTATAGGCTTTTATAATTGAATTATTTGGAAATATAAAATATATCCTGAGTCCTGAACGTCTTAGTTCTTACTTTCACTCGAAGAGTTAATAAACCACCAATATCTATACTTCTTCAAAGGATAACCCTTATTGCAAAGGTGTCAGTTATGGGGAGGTTTCTGCACGTTTTGATGCGTAAGTCTTGAATGTCTATATTTATCTATGATAGTGCTAAATATTCTAGCATGGCGACGCGGTGCTAAAATGAGAAGCCGTGAAAAACGAATCACTCAGAAAGATACTCCGAAGAATATCCCTAAAGCCGGAGATTATCAAGTGGTCTCGCAAAATTTTATAATGGACTTGCCTCCTGGAACGTTGCAGTCTGACGTGGATCAGATGATCTTTAAACCAGACTGGACATTAAACCCACAGTGGGAGGTCCGCGTTGTTGGGGTAAAAACAAAGCGTGGCTGGGAGTATGTGTTCAGAAATAAAAGGACGGGCGAAGAGTATGATGACGTGGATATCCTTCGCTATCGCCATTCTTGGGCGTGTATGAGTGAAAAGCAGCGGCAAGAGGCATTGGCGAAAAAAACTTCCCCAGGTCTGGGAGTCGGCGGCGGATTCCGAAGAGGATAGATACTGCAGGGCATGGTTCAATTTCTATATCCTAACAGAAGTCTTTCTTGTACTAAGAAATAAAGTAATTTTCTCTTTTATACTCGCAATATTTACTTTTATTATTTTTAGTAGCATAGAGAGATATTAAAAGAGTATTGTGTAGATATATTGTTCTATACACTGATGATGATGATGATGATGATGATGATGATTTCATTTACCCTGTCCCCTCGCGAACGATATGCAGGATACAACAACTATATATATCCGAGTATGT